TTTGAAGGTAGATTTACTTGCCAGTTCTGGGTGAGGGCTGGAAGTGGCCTCAGTAGCTGGGGCCTCGGATTGACTAGTATTTCGCATTTTCCTGAGCCCCCCTGGGCTCTCAGCAGTGAGGCCCCATCCTCTCTTGGGCAAGTACTCTGCTGTCTTCTGCCTCAGTTCGCTCCTATCACCAAATAACTGGCTGTGTTATGGATCTCCTGCTTCTCACCCACTTGTGCTGTGTGTTTAAGACCTGTGTGCTGTGTGCATGCAGCTTGGCCCACTGCTTCTCACTGTTCTTGTCTAAATCCATATAGTTCTAATATTGTGTCTATGGATTCTTGGTTGATTTTTCTAGATGGAAATTTTATCACTTTCTTCCACATCCTTTTATCTCTCTGCTGTGGACTGAACATTTGTGTTTGTTCCCATCCCCCAGGTTCCTTGGCTGAAGCCCTAACCCTGCCCCCGCCCCCGCCCCCATGTGATGGCATTTGGAGGTGAAGTCTTTGGGGGGTGATCAGGTTTAGATGCTGTCACAAGGGTGGAGCCCTCATGATGAGATTGGTACCCTTCTAAGAGGAAGAAGAGACAGAGCTCTGTGAGCATACACCAAGGAAAGCTGTATCAGGAGGAAGGCCATGCCCAGGAAGAGGGTCCTTACCAAAGCCCGACCATGCTGGCACTCTGACCTTAATCTCCCAGGCCCCCGGCAGTGAGAAGTAAGTTTCTGTTGCTTAACTACCCAGTCTATGGTAGTTTGGGATAGCAGACTGAATTCACCAAGATGCTCTTATTTCTTTTTCTTTCCATATAGTATTCAGGATTTCCAATATATTTTGGATAGTGGTGTTGACAATAGTACCCTTGTCTTGTTCCTAACTTTAGGGGAATGCATTTAAAGTGTTTCCATTAAGAAAAATGTTTGCTTCAGAGTACTTTGGTTGTTGTTGTTAATCCTCACCCAAAGATATTTTTCCATTGATTTTTAGAGAGAGTGGAAGGAAAGAAGGGAAAGAGAAAGAGAGAGGAAAAGGGAGAGGGGGAGGGAAAAAGAAAAATCGATGTGAGAAAGACACATCGATTGGTTGCCTTCTGCATGTACTTGACCAGGGCCGTGGATGGAACCTGTAACCCAGGTAGGTGCCCTTGACTGGACTTGAACCCATGACCCCTCAGTACATGGGCCAACACTCTAACCACTTAGCAACATGGGCCAAGGCAAGGGTGTTTTTTTTTGGTAAAATATAAATGAACATAAAATTTGCCATCTTAAGGATTTTCAGTACAGTTAACTGGTATTAAATACATTCACATTGTTCTGCAACCACTACAAACATCTATCCACATAAATATTTTAATTTTGTAAAATTAAAACTCCATACCCATTAAACAATTTCTCTCTTCCCACCAGTCCCTGGCAACTACCATTCTACTTTCTGTCTCTGATTTTGCTTTCTCTAGGGAACCTCATATGAATAGAATCATACAGTATTTATCTTTTTGTCAGTGGCTCATTTTACTCAGCTTAATGTCCTCAAGGTTAATCCATGTTATAGTACATTGCAGAATTTTATTACTTTTTAAGGCTGAATATATTCCATTGAATGTATATACCATATTTAGCTTATCTATTCATCTGCCAATGGACACAGGTTGCTGCCATGTTTTAGCTATCCTCCTATATAATAAAAGCCAAATATACTAAGTGTCTGGTCAACTGGTTGGCTGTTCAACCAATCAAAGTGTAATATGCTAATGATATGCTAAGGCTGCTCAACTGCTTGCTATGACGTGCACTGACCACCAGGGGGCAGATAGTCAACTGGTAGGTTAACTTGCTGCTGGGGTCTGGCCGATTGGGACTGAGCAGGATGGGCCAGATACCCCCTGGAGCCCTCCCGTGGTCTCTCCCCCACTGGCCAACCTCTGGTGTCACTCCTCAGCCCCGATTGTGCACCGGTGGGGTCCCTTGGCCTGGCCTGTGCCCTCTTGCAATCCGGGACCCCTCGGGGGATGTCAGAGAGCCGGTTTCAGCCCGATCCCATAGGCCAGGCCGAGGGACCCCACTCATGCACAAATTCGTGCACCAGGCCTCTAGTCTATAATAATAAAAGTGTAATATGCTAATTAGACCAGACGTCCTTCCTTCCAGACAAAACCTCAGTGTGTGGGGGCTGAGGCCCCTGGCCATGGCGGCGTGCAGGAGCCAGGGCCAAGGCCCTTGCATGAATTTTGTGCATCGGGCCTCTAGTTGTGAGTAATGCTGCTATGAACATGGGTGTACAAATATCTCAAGAACCTGCCTTCAATTCTTTTGGATGCCTAGAAGTAAGATTGCTGGGTCATATAGTAATTCAATTTTTAATTATTTGAAGAACCCCCATACTGGTTTCCACAGCAGCTTACTATTCTCAGCAATAGTGCACAAGTGTTCCTTTGTCTCCACATCCTCACCAACACTTGCTGTTTTCTGTTTGATAGTAGCTATCCTAATGGGTGTGAGATGGTAACTCATTATAATTTTGATTTACATTTCTGTACTGACTACTGACATTGAGCCTTTTTTCATGTGTTTATTGGCCACTTGTATATCTTCTTTGGAAAAATGACTATTCAAACCCTTTGCCCAGTTTTGCATTAAGCTGTTTTAGAAGTTCTCTATATATTCTGGCTATTAATCCCTTATCAGCATATGATTTTCAAATATGTTTGCCCATTCTGTGGGCTACCTTTTTATTCCTTGGAGAGTGTCTTCTGATGCACACATTTCTAAAATTTTCATGAAGTCCAATTTGTCTATTTTTTCTTTTGTTGCCTGTGCCTTTGTGTCATATCCATTAAATCACTGCCAAATCCAATGTCACAATGCTTTTGTCCTGTTTTCTTCCAAGAGTTTCATTGTTTTAGGTCTTACATTTGGTTCTTGATGCATTTGAAGTTAATTTTTGTATGTGGTGTTAGGGAAGGGTCCCACTTCATTCTTTTACCTGTGGAAATCTAGTACTTTACCAGACCTCATGAAGCCACACCCTAAACATGTGCAGTTTAGCATGCAGCCGAAGACTCAAGGAGATCCCTATGCAAATTTCGAGTTCTCTCTGCATAGCTCCCTCTTCTCTGATGCTCTGCTCCACAAATTCTATTCACCGCTGTCTCTCCAAACTCCGATCTGTTTCCCAGCTCAGCAATACTCCATACTGTGCTTGAACTCTCCTTCTCCACATCATGATCCAGAAAGCATGTCTGGCAGAAAGCTGGAGGGATTATAGAACACACTCTGTTTCTCTTTCCTGGTTGTTTGTGTCAGGAGGACACTCCAGTCTCAGTTACCCCGATGTGTCTGGAAGCAAAATTCAGTCCATATCTTTCTTGCTTGATAACATCTTGTTCCTTGCTTATGTTTTCAGATCCTTCTGTTTATTTAAACACTGAAAATATTCACTTTACATTGTCCCTGACAATTCCAATATCCAAAGTCTGGCATGTCTAATTTAATATTTGATATCTGTTTTCATTCACTTTGATGTGTCTTTTTAAATTTTGGATTGTGAGCTAATATTCAACTGGGTTCTCTCTGTGGGAATCCTATGAGGTCTGGGTTGAAAGTAAACATCTTCAGAGAAGATTTGTGTCTGCTTCTGTCAGGCCTCTCCCTGGGTTTCCCAGACCTCATAGGCAGCATATACATGTAAATCCAGTATGCACAGGCTGACTAGACAGAGGTGGACCTTGCTTCCCCTTCCTTCTAATTCTATGTGTCCTTGTGCTCAGAAGGGGAGGACGGGAGAGTGGTAAGACGCCCAGGACCCCTAAGTATCAAAGGATGCAGGCTTAAGAAGATAGTACGTCATTTCAAATCCATTACCAGGGGACAAATGTATAATCCAAAAAAAGAGCCTTTCAATGATACAAATGTTGGGGGCAGGTGTGGAGCGGAGAGGGTTAATGGGGAGGGGGGAGGAGGACATCTATAACACTTTCAACAATAAAGATAAATTTTAAACAACTAAACCTTAAAAAATTCAGATTTAAAAAGCATCTATTACAGAGGGAGCACAAGTAATCAAGTATAGAGCATGTCACTGAACACCACCCACAGCTCAGGGCCTGAAGTCTCTCTTCTAGGCCTGGAGAACAAGGCAGACCCTCCAGGGTCCTCACCCTGCTCCTGGGAAGAGCCGCAGACAAGCAGGGGGCCAGAGCAGGTGTGCTGTCTGTGCCTCTCAGGTGCCACCAGGGAGGCATCAGCACACCCATGGGCTGTGATCTCTGGGCCCTTGATGCTGGTAAGGCTTCTTCAGGCCTGTTAGCTTGGGTAATGAGGGTGGGCTAAATGGGCCACAGGGGCTCTGGCTTTCCAGGTGCCACCAAAGGGTTCCTGGATGTGGCCTGTCACTGCCTCTTCTGTCCTACTCCAGGGCCCTCTCCCTCTTTTTCCACCTGCCTTTTATTTTCCCTCCTCCCTCATTTCCTCTTCCCTCCCACCTCCCATTCAGCTCCCTCTCCCCCAACCCTCCCTCCTGGGCTCTCCCTTCTTATCATCTCTCTCCTGTCTCTCCCTTCGTTTCGTCTCCCTCTGCTCTGCATTTTTCTTCCCGTCTTCCCTCTCCCTCTTCTCTCACAACCCTGTTTTCCACTTGGGCCAGAATCTGAGCCATTCCCAACCAGAGAAGGGGAGGACGGCATAGTTTAGTCCCATCCCAGACCTCCCTGGTAACGTCTCATTTGGCTTGGCTCCCTGGTCAGGTTTGTTTCCTTGGGAGCGGGAGAATCCAGGCTGCTTCACTGGTCACAGAAGCAGCTCTGGGTCAGAGCACCCTAGTTCCCAAGGACTGGACCTAAAACCGGGCTGCTGGGGGCCTCTGGCCTTGTAGAACCAGCCTAGCCCATGGCCTCACCCAGATGCTGGAGGCATGCTTGTTTATTACATAGAGGCTCAGAGAAAGGGGGTGGGGGTGGGGGTGGGATGGGGGGGGCAGGGCAGGTGGGCAAGGGAGGAGCCTCATCCAGGCCTGGCACTCTGGTGGTCAAGGGGCCTGCATCACTTCTTGGAGGCCTGTTTCTTCCAAGAGTTCATCTTCTTACTGTCCCTCCTGCCTTCGATGAGAGGATGCAGATTCATCCTAAAAATCAAAATAGAGAGAAGCAAATGCTGGGAAATGGGTAGAGAGGGCTGGTCTGGACAGCACTTGATCCCTGCGCTGGCCTGGGCCGAGGTGAGCATGGCCTCCACCTTGCACAGCCGAGGTCCTCTCGGCATCGCTCCAACCTGGGGCTCCAGTGCACCTGTGACTTTTCTAGGTGCTCACGGTTATGCTTTTCTATCTTCATGAGAAGTGTGCGATTTTTCACGCTCTTGCAGGACACATGATTCGCTTCACAGTGAATACGGCCAAGTCAGTGGACTTGACAAGTCTAGGAAGTTTATGCAGGAAGACAGCCTGCGGTCTCCACCCTTCTCAGACAGACAGATGGGTCTGAGGTGTGGGGTTTCACCACAAGCTTAAAGGCTTCAATCTCCGCCAACCAGACCAGGGAGAGCAACTGGGCAGTATGTTGATAAAAGAGGTCAGAGGTCAGAGATTGTTGGAGATGTGACTCCCCAAGGTCACTTAGCCCCCTGTGGCCTCTGGGAGTCATGCCTATTCTGCCAACCACAAGAGGGCCCCTCAGCCCCCGGGCTGGGAGACCACCTACTTCTTCTCAGGTTCAGGGAAATAGTCCTCCATCTTGTCCCCTACGGTCAATGAGGAGATGCTTCCTTGGAAGTCTTCCAAAATTGTTCTCTTGTCTGAGTCAGCTTCTTCCAGGCCCAGGAAGGTGGGTAAAACACTGCTGGAGAGGCAAGGAGGGGAGGGCAGTGCTCAGTGGAGGCCCAGTCAGAGGGGGCCCAGAGCTGGGGGTGTCTGGGCAAGCAGCCCTCACTCAGAGCTGCGCCCCAATGTTCCAGTCCCTAGAGAGAAAAGGGCGCAGGTGCTTCTCCAGAGGAAGGGTGAGGGGAGACCTGACCCCTGGGGACCCAGAGGTTCACTGGGGTTGGCTTCCCTGGCTTCTTTTTCAGATTGGAATTGCCCTAACTCCATGCCCACGACACCTGTACACACAGCCTGACCATCAAACGAGCAAAGGAGAGAACAGGAAGCCAAGAAAATAAGTCATCATGTACAATGTTATGGATTGTATCCCCCCCAAATTCATATACAGGAGTCCTAACCCCTAGTACCCCAAGATGTAGGAAATAGGGTCACTGTGGATGTAGTGAGCTGAGAAGTCATATTAGAGTAGGGTGGGCCTCAATCTAATATACCTGGCGTCTTTATAAAAAAGGGACATGTGGCCGAACCGGTTTGGCTCAGTGGATAGAGCGTCAGCCTGTGGACTCAAGGGTCCCAGGTTCGATTCCGGTCAAGGGCATGTACCTTGGTTGCGGGCACATCCCCAGTGGGGGGTGTGCAGGAGGCAGCTGATCGATCTCTCTCATCGATGTTTCTAACTCTCTATCCCTCTCCCTTCTTCTCTGTAAAAATTCAATAAAATATATTTTAAAAAAAAGGGACATGTGGACACAGACATGCACCTAGGGGAACACCATGTGAAGATGAGTGGTGCTGTCCTGGCTGGTTTGGCTCAGTGGTTGGAATGTTTGCCTGTAGACTAAGGGGTCATGGGTTCAATTCCTGGTCAAGGGCACGTACTTCAGTTTCAGGTTTGATCTCCAACCCCAGTTGGGGCACATGGGGGAGGCAATCAGTTGATGTCTCTTTCTCACATTCATGTCTCCCTCCCTCCTTCCCACCTTCCTTCCCTCTTTCATTCCTCCCTCCTTCCTCCCTTCCACTCTCTAAGGATCAATAAAAAAAATATCCTTGGGTGAGGATTAAAAAAATAAATAAATAAAAGATGAGTGGTGCAGCCACAGCCTAGGAATGCCCAGAGCTTGGAGGGCTGAACTAGATCCTTCCTAGCACCCTCAGAGGGAGCCTGTCCTGCCCATACCTGCATCTCAGACGTCTGGCCTCCTGAACCACAAGTCAATACATTTCAGTTTGCGGAAGTGTCACACTGCTCTAGGAAACTAATGAACATGTGTGGTCACTCCTCCCCTTTGCACCACAGCTCAAGGCTTTCCAGCCATTCACTGTATGCAAACACTGTTCGGGTTACAAGATGGTTTTGAGCATCGCAGTGGCCCTAGGGAACAGGAAGTGCAGGGTGGCACCCTCGGGGACAGGAAGTGCAGGGTGCCCATTTTATCGACAAGAGCAGAGAGGGGAGCTGGAGGGCACATAGTAGGTTCATGGCAGAGGCAGGACCAGCCCTTTCATTCATTGTTTCTTCATATTTTTTGAGCCCTTGCCATGAGACTAGATTAAGGGAAGAGCAGTTCAGAGATAAGAGACAAAGGGAGAAGAGAGAGGGGGGTCTCCTCTATCATTGCAAGCCCCCCCCCCAAAATAAAAAATGGAATGCTACCAAAACGGGGTCACAGAATCTGGGTATATTCACAATGTTGGCATTTAGTAAACTAACGTCTCCCTTCACAGCTCACCCTGCCGCCCTGCCTGATGGGGAGCACACACACAAAGTTCAAGTGACTTCACAACACTGCAATGGGGCGCAAGAAGAGATTAACCAAAAAAACTTATATACATATATGTATAACCCACGGACACAGACAATAGTGCGGTGAAGGCCTGGGGAGGAGGTGCAGGAACGGGATGGAGGGTGTCAGTGAGGGGGCAGGGGAGAGAAGTACTGTAATACTTTCAACAATAAAGATAAATTAAAAAAAGAAACTGAAAAATAAAATAAATAAGAGCCAATTCTGATCAAGCTTCTCCCCAGCTCAAGAACCTTCAATGGCTCCCCACTGCCTATATGATCAAGTCACCGAAGCTTCCCACAACATGCCCTTCCCCTGCTTATCCAGTGCCTGCTTCTCCTTCAGCAGAGGACCCTACTCCCACAGGTCTTCCTAGGACTCATGAATGGGTCCACAGTGGCATCCTAACACATGAAGAGCCGGCACTGCCTCTCCTCTTCATAAGCTGACAAGTCTTATCTCACCAACCAGGTCTGGCCTACACCTCACATGTCTCTGGGTCTCCTAACAGAGTGGCTCTCACAGTGCCACCAAACCCCGGAGCTGCACCAAGCCTTGCTGAGAACTGCCATGGCTGGTAGGGGCAGCTACTGGGTTGTGGAGGCGGGGAGGCAGCTTGGGACAGGGAGGTTTGAGGGTCACCTCTGCCACGCCCTGTCCCTGTGCACACACAGAACTCACACTCTCTTCCCAGCCTGGCTTGATGCCTCTTTTGCAGGAGCTGTAGAGGTACCTGAGGACAGAGTTAGCAAAGCCTTGAGGCTCTCAGTGGCTTTTCTCTCTGCATCTTCCTAACATCCATAGCCTCCTCCACTAAGCATTCCAGGATAGTTGGGTCATGGTGTAACCTCCACGGTTTCTCTGGAGCGAATTCCCCCAGACCTCTTTTGGATCCAGCGGACATTCTGACAAGCCCCAAACTCAGCACATGAGGGAGAGACTGGAGTCAGGACTCCTAGAAAGCTGAGGGGCCTTGTGGGAGTGGGGGATGCCCAACTCAGTGCAGTGGGGGTGCAATCATAGGCAAGCCTATGTCTGCACGCAGGTTTATAAAGCACTCCAGCAAACATACTTCCAGAAGATCTCCACAACAACCCGGTGAGGTGGGCATCATCACCCTTATTTTAAGGGGAGGAAAGTAGGCTTAGGAAGGCAAATGGATTAGGCCATAGTCACCCAGATGGTGAAGAACAGAGCAGGGCGCCAGCCTCATCGTAGGACCCCTGACCCAGTCAGTCTTCTGCTGCACCACATGGCCCAGGCATTCTAGAATCCGCTCCTTTCACCTAATATAGCCTTCAGCAATGTCAAGAGCCCCAGGCTCCTTCCCTGGACCAGGCAGTATGCTTTCTGAGTCCAGAGATCTGTCTTTGTACATCTCACCCAAGCTGGGCCCCAATTATGCTCTGTAATGAGCATCATCTGGTTGAAAAGCCAGAGCTCCGAGGCCGAGAGGCAGACTTAAGCCAGGCCACCCCAATTCCTTTTACAAGGATCTGAGATCACTCCATGAATGGCCCTTGCCTATGTGGCCCTGCCAGTAAACAAAGTAGAGGCAGGACTTGGATCACACACAGGATGGAGTGGGGTGCAATGGGACAAAAGGCGGGGTGTCACTAGGGACCCTACCCAAATGCCCATCTCCATGATTTCCCTACAGAAACCAGCACTGGGCAAATGATTCTGTGTCCCTCTTTCTCCAAGAGGGCCCTTTTCCAAGCCCTGTGTCCCGAAGAAACCAACAGCACGGCCTGGCACACCCCCTCACAGCCTGCTCTCATTCCCACCCAGCCCACCCGCAAAGTCCTTCCATGCCAGCTTCTACTGCGGACTCCTCCTCAATTCACTCCTCTGGCTCACCAGTGCCCCTTCCACAGTGCCGACTCCTCCCTCCCCTCCACCCCACCCTTGCCTGCCGCCATCCTTCCTCGGTCCGAACTTTTCCCATTGTACCTAAATTTGTAGTTCTCTGGCATGAAGTAGCCCATCTTGCAGTCCTGCCGAGCCTGGGAGATCTGTTTCAGCAGATTCTGCTTGCTGAAGCCGTATCCATTCAAAACGCAGCCCCCAAACAGGAGCTTCCCCCCAGCGAACATCTGCTGACAGACAGGACGGAAACAAAGGAGAGGCCCTCAGCACATCAGCACTGAAACTCTCAGAGCCTGTGCCAGAATCCAGGCCTCTCTTTGGTGCCCGGGAAGAGGTGTTAACCTTCCCAAGTCACCCACTGAGGTGTGGCTAAGCCTGTCCTCTCTCTAGGTCCCCCAGGTTAGATGCCCATCATCCCAGCCTCTCCCCTCTGCCAGATGGACCAGCTCAAATGTCACTTCATATACAAGACCTCCCAGAACTCTGAGGCCAGAGGGTGTCTTCCTGCTCCCAGGCAGCTGGCCTCAAACACACACTGATACACTGATCAGCTTTCCCATGGGATAGGAGCCCCTTGAGGGCAAGGATCTTGCTCTATAGCCCTCCATGCTCCCACTCTCTGATTTCTGTGCAAGGATAGTCATTAGTATGGATATTCATTTGTTATTTGTCATGGACAAAAAAACAAACAAAAAGGAAATAGCCTTTTTATGTTATTTAAAATCTACAAACAGATAAAGAGAATTTGACTTTCCAGTTAAGTGCTCAAGTCTCCTGGGATTGGGGACATGGGGTCAATGTGGAGACAGGAGGCCAGGCTAGGAGAAAACCCCCTCCCACATCTGTGACTCCACAAGGGTAGGGGCTATGGAGACAGGGGCAGCTGGTAGTTGGTGGTGAGTCCCCTGCTGGGCTCCGGCTCACCAGAACCATCCCCTGCATCACAGCATACTTCTTCACCAGCAGGGGTGGGTCCTTCTGCAGTGGGCTGTTGAGGTCATATCGCAGTAGGCGGTAGGGGTCATGCTGGCACTGCCAAGAGAATGAATGCCCATCACCTCCATGCCAAAAGGATGCACTCAGATTCCTGCGTTCTCAGCCAGGTCGGGTTACCACTGAGTTCTGGAGCCCCATGCAATACCCCCTTCTCAACCCCTACTCATGGCATCCCAGAGAATGTCCCCAGATCCACTTAGGGCTCTCTATTGGTGAAAGCTGTCGCAGAGATGATCACTCCCGCCATGTGACATCCACTAGCCTGGCCCTCTGGAGTCTGTGGGACGTTCCTGTCTCCTCTGAGAGAGACCATGTGGACATTGGAAGATGGGAATGGTATTCCTGGGCATACCCATTTCCAGGATTCTTTTGCCCCCTATCTCCCTGCTGGATGCCCTACTGGAAACCTGCTGGTCATTAAACCCACTGAATTGAACCCAAATCTTGAGGTATGGCCTGGTCAATCCGGAGTAAAACTGGTCTCTTTCTCCTCCTTCTTTCTGGATGCTGTTGTTAATAAAGCTAATGTGACACTTTCTGGTTTTATCTGCCTTTTATTACAGGTGCCACCAAAATTGTCCTGCCTGACCTTTCAGTTTAAAATGTGAAACCTGGACCCACACCTGGTGTTCCAGCTATTACAGCAAGAGAACATCAGGAAAGGTTTCTGTCTTAAGACCCTGAGTGGTGGGGCCAGAGGCAGTGCAATCTGAAAACACCCTCCAGGCCTGCTCTCTGCACTCCTCCATCCTGCTGCCATGGCCTTCAACCAGCTCAGGCCAGGCCTGACTCCGTTTGTGCTGCTCATGGCTGGGCAGCACCACCATGCATTCCTGTGCTTATGGATAATTATTAGTGAACAATGAATAGCCCTGAAATAAACTGAAGTCAACTCTAAGTTTAAAACATATGTGGCTTTGATGTATGAGACTAGAAAAAAGCCTCCTGGAGTCTGATCTGAAGGGTTCCAATGCCAAGCTCCTGGCACTGGCTGGAGTGCAGGTCCAAGGGTGGGTATGTCAGGGTCAGGAAGGTGGCACTCCTGGGACGAGGGCTTAAGAGGGTGTCCCCTGGGTATACACAAAAATCAGAATTAAGGGCTGCAGCCAGAGGAAGATGGGTGAAGACAATAGACGTGAGAGGGCACCAAGACAAAGAGGGTTTGAAGGAAGGCATCAAGTGGACACACAGCTCTGTGCTCATGTGGCATCCTCTGCTCCAGTTGGTCTGGGGACAGGGTCACCCCTTGAACTGTGTTAACACTGTTGGAATGGCTTATGACTCAGGATGATGATGAGATTTAGAAATGACTCTGCAGCAAGGAGGCGGGGTGGTTCCATGTGCCCCTGACTGACTCACCCACGATGAACTGGGACCTCGAGCGGTCTTTCCCCTGTTCACCTTGGCACAGGACACTGCCTCTGCCAGAAACACTCAGCCACCTGCCCAAACCTTTCATCCTGGGGGGCTCTCCCAGGCCCTTGAGAGGGGTTTTCTTGCTCCCCAGTTCCTACCCGCCTAGAGCTGTCCTTTCATGGTCCTCATTGGGGCTTGCTGTAGTTACATCCCCACCATGTGGGAGCCCCTCCAGGGCTATGTCAAAGTCAACATGGAGCAGAGACCTGCACAGGACCAGCGCAGAGTAGGTACTTGGCTACTATCTACAAACATTCCTTAGCCCTAAGGATCTAGAGGTGAGTGTGGCTCTGCTTTAAATACACCAGCACAGAACCACAAACTGTGGTGTGTGCTCTGGAAGAAAACAACAGGGGCCTGACTTTGTCTCAAGGTCAGAAAGGGCAACCACTTGATGCGGTGACATTCGTCCTGGGACAGGGGGATGAACGGGAGAGAACCACAGCAAACAGTAGGAAGAGTGTGTGCAAAGGCCCCAAGGAGCAAAGGAAGTGAAAGAGGACCCTGTGCCGAAGTGGAGAGGCAATCTCTCAGCCAGGTGCTCAGCCAGCCCTAGCCCTCCCCCACCCCCTCCCCACCCCCAGGCACTGGGGGCTCCTCTGCTGGGCCCAGGACCCACCTGGATGCAGGGTGAGCCACGGCCCTGCTGCCGGTGACAGTAGAGTGTGTTGAGCAGCCACTGGAGCTGTCCTGAGCTGGTAGGAATGTGGCTTGACACTATTCCGAACACCAGCACCTGGCTGGGGTCACGGGGCACTGACAGGAAGCGTTCCAGCTCCACATCAGATACCAGGGGTGGCTTCACTATGCACTTGCAGCCAGCGCGGATGTCTTCCTTACAAATGAGCTTCCGCAGCACCAGTGGGCAGTCAGAAGGTGAGGCAGCCCTCCTGGTGTGGCTGCGCATCTCTGTGGCCCTCCCCCTGCAAGAAGGAGCGAGTGGGCAGGCGCTCAGTGGGCCCTGACTCCACATGGACAAAGGCCCCACTGCTGTGGAGTCTAGGCCGCGGGCAGTTCAACCCTGGCCTCCGCCATCAGCATGCCCCCTATCTCCTTGCAGCACTGCCTTGAATGGGTCCCCTAATCTTTCTGGGCCTCTGTATCCTCAAGTAACAAGCAACTCAATTGTTCATCCATCCAACACAAGCTTTGTGGTCATCCTGAACTCCTTTCTTTCTCTCAAACCTCATGTCCTATCCAACCTATCAGCAAGCCTGTCTGCTCTCCACTCAAGAAAGATGCAGCCCTGGCCAGTTTGGCTCAGTGGATGGAGCATTGGCCTGCAGACTGAAGGGGGTTTGATTTTGGTCAAGGGCTCATGCCCGGGTTGCGGGTTAGATCCCCAGTCAGGGGTGTGCAGGAGGCAGCCGATCAATGATTCTCTCTCATCATTGATATTTCTGTCTCTCTCACCCTCTCTCTTCCTTTCTGAAATAAATAAAAAAAAATTTTAAATCTAATTTGCATCTCTCAGATGATTAGTGACTTTGAGCATGTTTTCATATGTCTCTTTGGTCTTCGTTATGTTCTCTTTCAAAAAGTATCTATTTAGGTCCGTTGCCCATTTTTTGATTGAGTTATCTTCCTTTTGTTAAGTTGTATGAGTTCCTTGTAAATCTTGGAGATTAAACCCTTATCTGTGATAATATAAAAAAACAATGCGGTACCATCTCACACCTGTCAGAATGGCTATCATCAACAAATCAATAAACAACAAGTGCTGGCGAGGATGTGGAGAAAAATGCAGACTGGTGCAGCCACTGTGGAGAACAGTATGGAGTTTTCTCAAAAAACTAAAATGGAACTCCCATTTGACCCAGCAATCCCACTTCTAGGAATATATCCCAAGAAATTAGAAACACCAATCAGAAAGGATATATGCACCCCTATGTTCATAGCAGCACAATTCACCACAGCTAAGATTTGGAAACAGCGTAAGTGCCCATCAGCAGATGAGTGGATTAAAAAACTGTGATAGGTACATCTATACAATGGAATACTATGCTGTGGTAAAAAAGAAGGCATTCTTACCATTTGCAACAGCATGGATGGACCTGGAGAGCATTATGTGAAGTGAAATAAGCCAACAGAGGAAGATTAATATTATATGATCTCACTCATTTGTGGAATATAATGAACAACATAAACAGATGAACAAAAACAGATCCAAAGACAGAAAAGCATCAATCAAACCGTTAAACCTCAGAGGGAAGGTAAGGGGAAGAGATCAACCAAAGGACTTGTACGCATGCATATAAGCCTAACCAAAGGACACAGATATCAGGGGGGTGAGGGCATGAGTGAGAGGGCAGGGGGAAATGGGGAGATAAGGACACATATGTAATAGCTTAATCAATAAAGAAAAAAAAAAGAATCAATCAATGAATGTATAAATTTAAAAAATGAAATAAAGTAATACAATTGCAAGTAAAAAAAAAAAATCTGAGTCACATCATGTCACTACTCTCTTTGAAACTCTCCAGTGGCTTTCCACCTTTCCTAGAATAAAAGCCAAAGTCCCTGCAATGTCCTTCCAGGCTGTACATGATCTGTCCCCCTGCCTTATCCTCTTTACCTCTCTCCTTCTTCTCCAATAGGCCCACCTTTGCTTATTGAGTTCTGGCCTCTTTGGCCTGTGCTTATCCTCCAGCCTCAAGATCTTTGCTCTTGCTGTGCCTTCTGCCTGCTTGGCTCTTCCCCCAGATAGGCACACAACTCACTTTCTCACCTTCTTTACCTCTTTATGAAAATGTCACCTTCTTTTTTACAATTTATATTTGTATTGGTTTCAGAGAGCAAGGGTGAGGAATAGAGAGATAGAAACATCTACGAAAGAGAAACATCATCGATTGGCTACCTCCTGCATGCCCTCCTCTGGAGATTGAACCCACAATCTGGGCATGGGCCCTGACCAGGAATCAAACTGTGATCTCTTGCTTCCTGGGTTGATGCTTACCACTGAGCAACACTGGCTGGGCTTTAAAAAGTTCTTTTTTTAAATCCATAAGTCAGATGATGTCACATCTTATCTTAAAAAGTAATGGAATGACTTCCTATAATAGTAACAAGTGTACTTATCTGGCTCCTGCCTCTCTCTCTGTCCTCAATTTATATAACTCTTACGTCTTCCCCATGAGGCTCCACACTGGTCTTTTTACTTTCACTCACACATACCAAACTTATTCTTGTCTCAGAGCTTTCATACTTGCTCTACCCTTTGCCTGAGGTTCCTTCCCCATCCCTTTTTGGGGCTGCCTATTTCTTATCCTTCAGGTCTCCAGTTAAATATCATTTCCTCCAGACTGCCTTTCCTGACCTGTCTTCCTAATGTAGCACATCCCATCCCATTTCTTAGTCACTTTCTATCCCCAGGACTAGTCAACATTTTCTATAAAGGACCACAGTGCAAATGCCCTAATCTTTGCAGGCCAGATGGACTATGTCACAAAGACTCAAGACGTCTGTCCTAGCAGGGTAAGCAGCCAGAGATAATACTAAGTATATGAGAGGGTGTGGCCGTGTTCCAAGAAAACCTTACTTATTGATCTGATATTCAAATTTCATATCATTTCACATGTCATGAGAAATTCTTCTTTTGATTTCTCCCCCAGCATTTAAATACATAAAAAAATATTCTAAGCTCACCCATTAAAAAGGCTAGCAGGAGGGCCAGATTTACACATGGCCTTAAATTGCCAACCTCTGCTTTCCATGAATTCTTTTCTTCCTAGCCTTCTCACCATCGAAATGACTTCAGTGATTCATGTGTGTACCTTCTATCTTTGCCCACCCTGAGGATTCCAGCTCCGAGAGGGAGGGGCCTCATCTATTTTCTTCACCAGTGTGTGTCTACTACGCATGAGAGCATCTGGCACACAGAAGCTAGAGGAAATGAAGGCTCAAGCCCACCTGAGTGTAGCCAGGGCTTTGGCTTGGATTTTGATGATCTTCTTCGGAGCGGGGCTTATCGGAGCAGACCTAGGCTCTTCCTTCGGAGACTGTACAGCCGAGGATTCAGGTGGGGCTGACTGATAACGTGTTGCAGAGACTGCTGAATATAGATTTAGCTTGGTGCCCCGCTCGGAAAAGGCCCAGGATCTCATTTTGGTTCGACTTAGTTCTCCCATGACCCTTGATGGATATTCTATGATGAGCAATCCTGTTTATAGAAGACACTGCTGTTACTCTCAGTGGCCTTACCTCCCTGCTGTAGGGCTCTGCATGTGGGCACCCTTCAGCTCATATCCCTCTCCACTCCTTCACTCTGTAGATTCTTCTGCTGGGCTGCCTGCCCTCTATTGTCTGGCACAGCACTCCAAGCCTAGCACCGTTAGCGCATCAGTAAATGCTGGCTGAATTTAAGAACGAATCAATCCCATTCCCATTCATTCATCCATACCCAGCTTAGATCCCTCTTCTCTGAATTGACCCTGTGTTTTATCAGCTTTGTGACTTCCACAGCACTCAATGTAGAGACTGGGTATAAATGCATCCATGTTGTTCCCTTCCCTGAGGATGCTATTCCTTGTGTCTCCAGGTTTAAGTGATTTCCATCTACTTTTTTTGTTACATTGCATTTATTGGTATTCTTATTGTACTTTCCCTACTAGACTGGAAAACTTTTGAGGCCAGGGATCTCTCATTCACTTACCATTTACTGAGTGCTGGGTGCTGGGCATAGAGAGATCACCCACAACTGCTTCCCTGCCTCTGGAAACTCCCAGTGGCAGTATAGGAGGGATGGGCAAACAGAAATATTCACAATGCTAGGTTGTAAGATTTATTAGAGCACACATAAAGTACTGTGGAGCCCAGAGGAGTGTGTGTCCCCTTCTGCTGGGGGAGTCAGGGCTTTCCAGAGAAGAGGCACAGTTGAACTGAGTCTTCAGGGGTGAGGAGAAATACCCCAGAGAGGTCATGGGGAGAGCACAGCCCCTCCATGCCCAGCCTGGGGGTGGCATGGAGTGCTGTGGGGGGGGTGTCAATGTCCTTTTGTCCCCAGGCTCATCAGCAGGGCAAAGAGTCCAGATGTGGAAGGGTTTCCTAAGGGCCAGCATGGGGAGCTCTGTGGGCCTAACAGTTCAGCCTGGTGAGGTAGCTGCTTTTTCTCCTCTGCTGAGATCTACAAGGAGAGAGGAATGGGGCTGCAAACAGATAGATAGAAGATGGAGCTAAAAGGTGAACCAGATGTGGGAGTGGGGACAGAGACACATACAGAAAGATGATGAGACCCAGGAAAATAAGATAATCATATGGAGACATTAAAGACACATAGGAAAGTGCTCAAAAATGGAGGGTGGCCAAGGTCACCATTAGTAGCTATGTGGCGTTGAGCAAGTCCCTTCGGCATTCTGAGTCCAGTAATTCCATCTACCAATGGGGAAATCTCCCTGTCATGCCCACCTCCCTGGGGTGGTAAAGAGTTATCCTTGGAGACAATCTGCAGGTAACTCAGGATTTGAAAAGCCATCGAATAGGCTGTCACCCACCTTTCTGCCCCCTTACCTGCTGCCAGTAAGACAGAATTCATGAACTGAGACACTGTCTTCTGAAACCGCCTCTTGATCGCTGCCAGGGCTCGGCTCATCTTAGACAACTTGTCGTCCATGCTGGTGGTCTTGTGGATCATCTGGGGAGAGGCCAAGGGGAGGGCATTGTCATCTGTCCTGCCAGGGGTCATCTGCCCAGACCAGTGACAACCAGGCCTTGCTCTGACTTCAAGGATGTTCTGTCCCCTCTGCCCAAGACACAACTCTCTCACCCTCAGCCCAGTGAATTCCTGCATACCAACCCAACCTGACTCGAAGGTCCCCTCCTGGAACATTTTCCCTGATTCTATTGGGCAGAACTGTTCCTTGCCTTGGACCTCTATCAGCAGCAGCCTGAAGACAGAGGTTAGCCCTTTCTGAAGTAAGTGAATGCATCTGAACCTGTCTCCCTTGCTGAACTGTAAGTTCCTAGAGGACAGGGACTGAATCTTGGTCTCCTTTGTGTCAGAGGCCCAGCATGCCGCAGGTGTCCAGTTAATACCTGCATGGTGAAAAATGATGGATAAAGGCCTCTCTGGAGCCAGTCCTCCTCTGTATGCATCCCCTAGAATCTCTTCTTCCCTCCAGCTGCCAGAGCATCTCAGAGGAAAAACTGCCCTTAGCCAGGGTTACATAGATTGACTGGTACCTATGAGCACACAGGCCCAGGCCTCCTGCCCCAATTCTAGGTTACCCCGAAGGGCATCTGGCTCTGGGGCCCCCTGTAAGGTGGCAAGGTAGTTGCTGGGGCGGCCCTGCAGTTCAACCACTCCCTCTGCCAGACCACCAAAATGGTACTGCAGAACCAGGCCCAGGTTTCAGTTCATTTTCTGCTGGGGGTCCCCATCATTTTTTACCTTCTTTATCCTTAACTCGGTCAGCCCCTTAAAGGCAGGAACCATGCTTTCTACATCTCTCACTTAACACAGAGGAGGTGTGAAAGCGATTTCCTTCTGTGGAATTGAAGCCTCAGGTGGGGAGAGTGGGGTGGGCACAGGGCAGATTTTCTGAAGAACAATGAAGTCAGCCCACATGTCCTCCTTTCCCCTGCAGGCAGGACTTCTGTAAAGGATGCCCCAATTAATGGCAAAAACCTCAACCATCCTTCCAACGGCTGGCTCCAGCTGCTGCTTCTGGGCTAATTTTATTTATTTATTTGTAATTTATACCCAGCTTGCTTCCAAAAAGGATTTGAGGTGGCACTCTGGGCTAATAAAGCATTTAAATTGAAGCATTGCCTCGCTTTCAAAGTGCTGCCTGGATAGAAATATTTAGTGAGGAGCCAGGCGCACGGCCGTAAAAGAGGAAACCGTCGCGCTCTTCCAGGGAGATGGGTGCCTGGGGAAGCCATCTGACAAGCTTCCCAGTGACAGGGACTTGGAAGGAGGCTGCCACCCTACCCCCCAGCCTCAGCTTTCCTAGACTGCCACAGATTTTGTTGATGAGTGGTAACTAGAAACACACACACACACACACACACACACACACACACACACACACACACACACACTCTGGAGTTGAGTGGGTTATAAAGGTTCCAGGATGGCAGTGAGTGTGTGAAAGCTGGGTGGACCCTTACACATCATGATACAGATGGGGAAACTGAGGCCTTGCATTCCCAAGGCCATATGACTTCTTCCCAGCTGAGGCTCTTTGCCGGCCCCCACACTCAGTAAATTTTCTCAAGGGTTTCTTGTAGCTCTCATGGTCCAATAATCCAAAAGGAGGCAATTCTCTGAGTCTCAAGGATTTCATGTAAAAATATTTTGAGATGATTAATCCTGGTAGTTGAGGTAATGTTTGTAAATACTGTTACCTACAATAAATCTGATCTTTTTTCATTTGCTATTGTCTGCTTAGGGAGTTGTAATATATACTGCACCTCCCTGTGCTCTCAAACAGAAGGGATTATGACGTGGATGCTTTTTGGCAAGTCAATCTTCTTGGTTGACACCAATGACTGCTGTCTAGAATGCAGTACTGTTTTCACAAGCTGCTTTAATGTCTGTTTATCTCTATGCTAAATGTCCCCAAGATGGTTAGATGCCTTTTCAATAACTCTCCAGTCTCTACTGCACTGTCAACACTTCTGGGAGCTTCCTTTACAAACACTCCACCTCCCAGACCCCACACGGTCCAGTAGAAATATAATGCAAGCTACACGAGCAGTTTGAAACATCCTGTAGCCACATTAAAAACTTTCTTAAGCCAAGGCCGGTGTTTCCAAGTGGTTAGAGCATCGGCCCGTGCACTGAAGGTCTTGGGTTCAATTCCCAGTCAAGGGCAGGTACCTGAGATACAGGTCCTATTCCTGGTCACAGTCAGGGTTTGTGCAGGAGACAACCAAGTGATGTGTCTCTCTAACATCGATGTTTCTCTCTCTCTCTTTCCCCTCTCTCTAAAAAAAAAAAAATCAATGGGAAAAATATCCTCAGGTGAGGATTAAAAGAAAAACATTCTTAAAAGGTAGAATTAATTTTAGTAACATTTATCTACCCCACTACCCACTATATAAAAATTATGATTATTTATGGAACCAAAATAAATAATTAATAAAAATTGTACATTGTCTTTTCACACTGTCTTGGTAATGTAGCGTGTATTTTCACTTATGGTCTCTCTCCATTAGGACTTGTCACATTGCAAGTGCTCAAGAGCCATTTGCAACTTGTGGTTACCATACTGGATATCACAGCTTTGGATTTCTAGTTCTAGCATGCTAAGATTGCATTTAGGTTAAAAAAAAAATCAGTGTTGAATTACTAAGGGTCTTTTGTAGGCCTGGTTGGTGGGAATGTTTAGCTCATGACTTAGGGTGATTTCTCTTGGCTGTTCATGGGGGTCTTTAGCTCCTTATGTAGTGGTTCTCAGCTGTGTTCCAAACTTCAGAGATTATCAGACAAGAGGTTTCCAGGCAAATAAAGCATTACTGCAATTTTATGGGAAAGAATAATTTTCTGATATCTATTGCCTTTGATAAACTCACATTTTTTACACAGTCTAAAAAGGTTATCAAGAAACACAGATATGTGACTTCATACATAGTCACTTAACAATGGTTTTTATTTATTTTTACATTTTTATTGAATTTATTGGGGTGACATTGGTTAATAAAATTATGTAGGTTTCAAGTGTACAATCCTATAATACATCATCTGTATTGTGTGTTCACTATCCAAAGTCAAGTCTCTTTTTGTCACCATTTATCCTCCCTTTATTCTCATCTACCTCCCCGCAACCCCCTTTCCCTCTGGTAATCACCACATTGTTGTATATGTCTATGAGTTGAACTGTACTTTTTTTTGCTTAATCCCTTCACCTCTTTCACCCAGCCCCCTAACCTCTTCCCCTCTGATAGCTGTATGTTTTCTGTCTATGAGTCTGTTTCTATGTTGTTTATTTTGTTCATTAGATTCCACATATAAGTGAAATCATATGGTATTTGTCTTTTTCTGACTGGCTTATTTCACTTAGTATAATATTCTCCAAGTCCATCCATGCTATTGCAAAAGGTAAGATTTCCTTCTTTTTACGGTTGAGTAGTATTCCATTGTATAAATGTACCACAGCTCATTTATCCACTCATCTACTGATGGGTACTTGGGCTGCTTCCAGATCGTGGCTATTGTAAATAATGCTGCAATGAACATAGGAGTGATATTCTTTCAAATTCGTGTTTCTGGTTTCTTCAGATATATTCCCAGAAGTGGAATCACTGGGTCATAAGGCAGTTCCATTTTTAATTTTTTCAGGAAACTCCATACTGTTTTCCACAGTGGCTGCACCAATCTGCATTCCCACCAACAGTGCACAAGGGTTCCCTTTTCTCCACATCCTCACCAACACTTGTTGATGTATTGATAGTCATTCTGATAGGTATGAGGTGGTTTTAATTTGCATTTCTCTGATGATTAATGATGTTGAGCATCTTTACCTATGTCTATTGGCTATCTGTATATCCTCTTTGGAGAAGTGTATATTCAGATTCTTTGTCCATTCTTTAGTTGGATTTTTTGTTGTTGAATTGTTTAAGTTCTTTATAAATTTTGGATATTAACCCCTTATCAGATGTATCATTGGAGAGAATATGTTCTCCGATTCAGTGGGTTGTTTTCTCATTTTGTTGGTGGTTTCTTTTGCTGTGCAAAAACTTTTTAGTTTGATGGAGTCCCACTTATTTATTTTTATTTTGTTTCCCTTGCTTGAGGAGATAGATCAGAAAAAATATTGCTACGAGAAATGTTTGAGATTTTACTGCTTATGTTTTCTTCTAGGATTTTTATGGTTTCAAGTCTTACATTTAAGTCTTTAATCGATTTTGAGTTTATTCTTGTGCATGGCATAAGTTGATCTAGTTTCTTTCTTTCTTTCTTTCTTTTTTTTTTGCATGTAGCTGTTCAATTTTCCCAACATCATTTATTGAATAGACTATCTTTACCCTGTTGTATGCTCTTGCCTCTTTTGTCATATATTAATTGACCATCAAGTGTGGGTTTATTTCTGGGCTCTCTATTCTGTCCCATTGATCTATATGTTGGTCTTTATGCCAGTACCATGTTGCTTTGATTACTATGGCCTTGTAGTATATATTGATATCAGCTAAGGTGATTGATTCCTCAAACTTTGTTCTTCTTTTTCAAGATTGCTGTTGCTATTCGGGGTCTTTTGTGATTTCATATAAATTTTTGAAATATTTTTTCTAGTTCTGTGAAGTACAACAACAATGACTTTTAGAGTACTAGCATACTAGCATGGAACCAAATTAATAGGATCGACTCATCAATAAGCATGATTGTTCATCTCTGCCCAGATGAACTCAAAATCAATTTTGCTCTTTGAAGTAACTGAGTTTCCTGGGTGCTCCTATGAGACCTCTTTAATGAACCCTGACAGCTCCCGCAGAGCCCCTCTCTGGTGCCCTACACCCATCAAGCTGGAATACAACTGGTGCTATGATTTTGCCCTTTCATTAGACTGAAAGTATTTCAGAGACTAGAGGGAGTGAGACTTCTTTCATTTCTACATTCCCAGCAGCCAACTTGGCACACTGCAGGTACTAATAAATGTTTATTGAATTAGTTAATGAATTAATGAAGATGAAATGCTGTGGAAATAAAAATGCATGGAAAATAACAGGTGCAACACTTTCCTCCAGGAGAAACACGGGTGTTCTCTGTACACATAACATGGTACCACATGGGTCCCTACCACATGCCTGTCTCCTGTGTTTCCATGTAAAATGAGGATGTTGGGCTGGCTGCTCCTTATGGGTTCCATCAGCTCTGAGAGTCTACGAGCCTGTGGCATATGGCAGCAAGTGCCCCCACAGATCAAGAGCCTTGCTCAGTGTGACCATATAATTGATCATCCAAACTAGGATACTTCTGAGAGTGAAAGAGTGTGACAGATGTAAACAGGGACTGGGCAAACTGGGAGATGTGGTCCTCCTGCTCCTACTCCATGGGCCTTCCTGAGTGATCCAATCCCAGCAAACTGCCCTGTGTGTAGTGCCAGTGGCCTGCTCCACTGATGAGCCTGGGTCGCCCCAGTCTCATCGTGTTTGTCAACTGCTCTCTTCTAGCTTATAAATTCCTCAGGAATCAGGGATGTGTCCCCTTCGTCCCTTCCATCTTTCTCCACAATGTTGACTCATGACTAGGCACACAGTAGTAACAGTAATATATATATATATATATTATCTCCAGTGAATGGGAGAATTGGGCTTCGAGTCTACACTGTTTTCTCACCCACCCAACAAATGTTTAGTACATGCTTAATTTGAAGCAGTCCTTGTGTTGGGCCCTGAAGCAATAGTCATCAGTAAAAATCACAAGGAATTCCCAATTTGATAGAGAAGATTGGCTTGTATAAGAAGGAGTACTAGAATGGAGGTGAGTCATGTCTGGGAGGGCCGAGGAGGAGAGGTGGACTCTACCTGAGATGAATAAGGGGGTGACAGAGTTGGCAGTTATTCTGTCCAGCATGATCTCTTCCTCTTCTGATAACAGCACCATGATTTTCCTTTAGGAAAACATTCTTGCATCATCCTTTGTCCAGGTGTTACCTGGGGCTGATTGCACCCTATGGCTCCCAGGATGGACACGACACTTGAGCCTGGTCAGTGAGAGCAGCATACACTCTTGGCCACAGGGAACATTTCAGGCATGGGCATCCAGAAGAGCCAATGATGTTGGTATTGGCACTTCTACTGGAGCACTTGGGAAAGAGAAGTCCCTGTTCTCCTGGGGAGACTAAAGCTGACAGAATAATGAACACAGAGATGCTCATGACTATCTTGTCACCATAAGGAGAGAAACTCCCTAAAAAAACAGAGCCAAGAGGTGGGAAGATCTGATGTAATCAGTTGAGGGCCAGGATGCAGCCATGCCTGAAGCTGCCTATTGACAGACTTCAGTTTACTGAGCCAATATAGTCTCTTTTCATGCTTAAGCCAGTCTGCATTGCATTCTGTCACACTAAAAGACTCCTAACTGACCTAAGTTTCACAGACAAGGTATTAAAGACAGTCAGTGAATGATGAGTAGGAATCCATTAGGCAGAGAAAGAGGGAGGGCCTTGCATGGGGTACAGGTGTGTGTGACGAGTAGGAATCCATTAGGCAGGAAGGAGGCACAATGACATTGAGATGTAGAGTGGCAAGACATGCTGAGATGCCCTGGGGTCAAACCTGGGTGTCTGGTCTGCTTCGCCTTACCTTTTTATCGTGCCCTACCCCGTGAGGACAGTTATTGGCCGATATAGTAAGTGTTACTGTCTCATTCATGCAGGTAAAGGTGACTAGAATGGAGTCCTGCCCCAGCACCGTCAGCTTCATTTGCTCATTCATCTGTAAATGAAAAAAACACACACACAAAAAACAGTATTCAGCGGACCTGTGCTTCTATTGTTCACCCACCCTGATCTACCACAAAGCACAAAACCTCTCTTGGCTTGGTACTGAGGGAGCTGTAAAATCTTTCTGGTTCTTATGTTGGAATATAGCTTTCGTGGAGAAGAGAGAAGAATTCCAGTCTCTCTTTGGGGTACTGGCAAAAAAAAAAATAATGATGCCATCTTACCCCTGTCCCTTCCCTTTTCAACCTAAGCTTGGAACCAACTGTGCGAGAGACACAGGCATCAGCAGGCAAGTCAGCTATGGTTCTGGTAGAGCCATGTGGGGATACAGCTTGGGTCATAAGCCAACACTATCCCTGAATCAGATGCTGTGTCCACTCAGGCACCAGGTCTAATGATGAGCCTTGCTCTACAGCACAGAGCTGCCTTGGAAAGTTGACCATATGGCAGGGAGCATCAGAACATACCCCTCCGCAGGTGGGTGGGCAGACAGCAAAAAGGAACCCAGCAGGGGCCGAGCCAGACATGCTCAGTTCCCCTCCTCCACAGTCACCAAATATGTCACCACTCTTCCCCTGAAAAAAAAGCCAGAGGAACTACTCCTTTTCACCACTTGCAAAAGGGTGGGATTTCCTATGTAGCAGTTTCAGGGAAGGTGAGCTGTTCTTATAGCAACACACTCCATACTAAGAACTCTGTGGGTTAGGGATAAGTTCCAGTTTTTCCTCCTGTTAGCAAGCCATTGGGCCTCTCTGAAGTGCAAATCTTCAATATGAAATAGTTGAAACCCTAGTATTGGATTCAAATGAGATAAAGATTTTGGAAGTGGTTTCGTGAGCCACAAAGGCCCATACTGAACATGAGCAGGCATAGTCAGGATGTGGCAGAGCAACTCACATGTAAGGCCCCTGGATGGTTCATGTATGCAGTTATTTATGCACAGTGTTCCTACCAAAGGCCTAGGAGTCTGAAGCCTTAGGCAGCTGCATGATGATTCTCCCTTCAATGTTCAACGTTCCTGACCTATTACCGTTCCCCCTCACCCTCAAGACTCCTCTGAACTAAGAAAACACTCTCCATTTCACTCATCCCATTTCCTTCTATTATTTCACTTGTTAGCTCAAAGGCCCACATTTAACTTCTTCACCAATGAGTCCCTTCCTCACTCTGAAGTCTGGATACTAGTCCCCTCCAGCAACCTGAGAACATTTGATCCATGGCTGTCTTCTTTTCAAGTCTTTTGATATCATCAAGCTTGTTGATCACACTCACACTTAAGAAAAAAATCTATCCTCTCCAATTCTGCTTCTAGAGAGATGTAGAATAGAGCTGTGGGTAAGAGCTCAAGCACTGCAGTTGGTTAAGGTTCAAATCCTAGTATTGTTACTTACAAGTTGGGCAATTTTAGGCAAGTTACTTCCCTTCTCTGAGCCTGGGGACAATAATAGAATCTGCCTCCTACAGCACTGAGCAGATTTCATGAGATAAAACATGCAAAGGGCTTAGCTGTGTTTATTACCCCTGCTCCCTGGATGGTTTCTCTTCCTCTCCCCAAATGCCACCAATATAAACTCAGTTACTACTCAGCTGCTCAGGAGTTCATGAGCCAACCCAATTATATGTATAAAATCTCCATCATCCCCAATCTCTCACCCTAGGATAAATGACTGTTGAATCCAATCAAAATATCTAAAAACATACTGATCTTTGACCCTCTCAGAAACTTCTCTATATCCACCCAGAAGATACACGCTCCACTATGGAAACATCTATAATTCCCTTCTTCTCTCATTTATCCTTTATAGCCCATGCCTGAATACTGAATTCTTTTTTATTGAACTAGCTCTTTTAAAAAAAATATTGGGACTACCCTTAGTCATGCCAGGTCTTTCTATCAGCCTATCCATTGATCTTTCTCTCTCCAGCTGACCTTCCATACAAATGCTAGACTGAACATACCAGCCTTCAACTTAAAAACCAGCTAGTTGGTTCTATTTCCAGCATAGCTGAGTCAGCTCCTAAGAGGCTTGGAAAACAAAACAAAACAAACAAACAAACAAAAAAACACCAAGAAAACTACTACAAGTTATAAAACCACCCAAAGCTATGAAGAGTTTAAAAAGAGCAGGGCCAATAAAAAAATAAAAAAATAAATAAATAAATAAATAATAAAATAGCAGGGTCTTAGCTGGTTTGTCTCAGTGGATAGAGCGTCAGCCTGTGAACTGAAGGGTCCCAGGTTCAATTCCGGTCAAGGGCACATGCCCAGGTTGCAGGCTCGATCCCCAGTAGGGGGTGTGCAGGAGGCAGCCAATCAATGATTCTCTCTCATCATTGATATTTCTCTCTCTCTTTCTTTCTCCCTTCCTCTCTGAAATCAATAAAAATATATTTTAAACATAAAATACAAAGAAAAAGAACAGGGAGACTTTGAAGAGTCAAAATTTAAAGGGTAGGACCAGCATGGGATGATTTTCTGTTTTACAGCTTTAGCCTAAAGACAGGCTACAGTCATGGCCCAAACTTCACCATTTTTCTGGTTCAAAGAATCAAAGAACAGAACCTGGGGCAACTACTGTAAGGAAAGATTTCCAAAAGGGACAGAGGGAGAGAAATAGAGCCCTGAATTCTATACATAAATTGTCCACATCTCTGGGTGATCCCTGAACTATGCATGAGCAAGGCAGACTCAAGATAATTTATAATTTATAGCTAGGGAAACAAAAAAACTGAACTGAGATTTGAGCTGCTGCCCACTGTAGGTGAGACAGTTTGTGGTATCAGTCTAACCAAATTCTTTGACTGTTAAAACAAAAACATCAACACTCTTCAGAGAAATACATCAGAATTCAGAGACTCCACAACATAACATTCATAATGTCAACAATCTAAAATTACTCAGCATGTGAAGAACCAGTGAAGTGTGAGCCATTCTCAAGGAAAAAGAAAATCAACGGAGGCCAACCCTATTGATATGACCAAGATGTTGAGTTATCAGACAAAGACTTTAAAGCGGCCAATTTAACTATAGTTGATGAGATAAAGGAAAATATACTTATAATGAATGAAAAATATCAGAAATAGAATATACAGAAAAGAACTATATGGAAATTCTAGCAGTGAAAACATCTGAAATTTTAAATTTCATTGGTCCTGCCATAATGGCTCAGTTGGTTGGAACATTGTTCCATGCACTGGAAAGTCGAAAGTTTAGTTCCCAGCCAGGGCACATACCTAGATTGCAGGTTCAGTCCCTGGTTGGGGCATGAACGGGAGACAACCAATTGAAGATTCTCTCTCACATTGATGTTTCTTCTCTCTCCTTTCTTCCCTCTCTAAAAAAAAATAGTAATAGGGTTAGCAGAATAGCAAAACAGAGATGACAGGATAAAGTTAGTGAATTTAGAGATAGAAAAGGAGAGACTGGAGTATAATTTTTTTCTAATGCAATAAGATTTCCTGAATATGATGAAAGACATTAATTTACAGACTCAAGAAGTTCAGTAAATCCCAAACAGAATAAATATTAAGACAACAACACCTAGAAATATTAAGACAACATATCCAAACTTAGAAACAAAGAAAAGGTAAAATCTTGAAAGAAACTAGAGAAAATGAACAATGATTTGAATAATTACAGACTTCTGATCGTAAAATATGGAGATCAGACACAGTAGAACAACATATTTAAATGCTAAAACAAAACAAAACAAAATGTCAACCCAGAATCCTAAATCTGGCAAAAATACCCTTTAATAAAGACATTATTTTTCCAGGCCCGGTGCATGGGATTCGTGCACTGGTGGGGGCGTGGCCTGCGGGGATTGGCCCGCTGTGGGAGCGCCACTCATCCCGGTCAGCTCATCCCCGTCAGCCAAGTGGCACTCCCACTGTGGAAGCGCACTGACCATACGGGGGCAGCTCCTGCGTTGAGTGTCTGCCCCTTGGTGGTCAGTGCGTGACATAGTGACTGGCCGACCGGTTGTTCTGGTTGTTCTGCCATTTGGTCACTGGGCTATTATTATATAGGATGAAAGAAAACAGAATGTGCTGCTTGCAGATCTATACTTCAAGAAATGCTAGAGGAAGCTCTTTGGGTTGGAAAGAAATGATACCAGAAAGAAACTTGGATTTTTCAGGGAGGAATGAGGAACACTGGAAATGCTATACTGGGTAAAAACAAATGGCCACTGCAGCCTTCAAGAAAGCATGCATACTCTTCAGCCTGACATCCAATACCTCTCTCCTTCACACCTCAACAAATACACCTCTTAGCCCCATTTCTTTCACAAGAGACACTTGTGAACTTTTAACAATACCACACTGAATCCCAACTTTGACCTTTACAAATGCTACTCCCTCTACCCCAAATCCTCTCCCTACCTTCTTCTATCTATGTAAATCATATGCATACACACTCATGTTACAACTCAAGGAACACTTTGTCTTCCAGGCTGCTCCTGACTGCTCCAGGCCTTGTGTATTTCTGTATGCAGTCCCAAGGAACAGAACAATAAACTGAAATACATTGCTAAAACATTTTGGTGATGTCAAAGCACCTTCCCTTCCATTCTTTCATTCAGTTCTTACAAAAGCAGTTTGAGGCAGGAGAGCAGGTCTGATGACCCACCTTGTATAGGTGAGACAACCAAGCTCAGAGAAACTAAGTGGTTTTCACACAGCTGTACAGCCAGAGCCTAGAAAAACTGGCACTAGTACTTGGCTCTCAGACTCTCATCCCAGTTCTCTGTCCACTTGGCCACAATGATATACCTCATATAGTGTCTGCCTGTAACCAATTTATAATCATCTTGCATTATAAACTTATCATACAGCTACAAAAAGTTAAATTTTAAGACACCAGCTCAATACACCCCTAGATTGAAAATCTTGAACCTGGCCAAGTATCAGAAATATTCATGAAAACTTCAAATTCCAGAACTTATAACAAACCAACTGAATCAGAATCTCTCTGGAAATATGCATTTTTAAAGTTCCATAGGTGATTCTGATATGCAACCAGAGCTGAGAACCTCTTCACTCATGACTAATCATCAAATGACTAATCCAAACTGTGGGGCAATGTGAGGAGAAATGGGTGTGGGGTGGGATGCCACAAAGAAGGGAAAGTCTGAGCAGAGGGATGAAGGAGGAACATTTTGGATTGGTAGAGAAAAGGGGGGGGTGCATTTCGGGCTGGTGTTGGGAAGGGGGGGTAGGAAGATTGATATGTGTTCAGGAGATCGACTGTTTCTGAGCAGAGGTTCGCTGATCTAAAGGAATCAGGATATAAGGATGAGAATGCAATGGCCAATGTAGAGGATAAATAGGAAGGGCAGGAGACAGGAGATCAGGGATAGGATGCCTGAACCCTACCATGTACTCCAAGAGTGTTTCTGTCCATAATCCTTACCTTAGGTCTCTTACTCTCAGGCCACTTTGAGTGGATTCTATGTTCTGTGATCTTTCTCTGACTCCCAACCCTATGAGCTTGTCCCTCTCTCACAGCCTTATTCGTCTCTACCCTGTGTTCTTATTAACCCCCATCCAGAGCTTTGACTTCCTCAATGGATGTTGCTGATCTTTACATCCCCTAGATTGGTTACTCTCACCCAGGGGCAATTTTGTCCCCCAGGGGACATTTGGCAATGTCTGGTGATATATTTTGGTTGTCACAATTAGAGGAGGGTATATTACTGGCATCATGCTATATATCCTACAGTTATAATTCAAGGAACATTGTAACAAAGAATTATCCATGCCCAAATGTCAGTGTGCTAAGGATGAGAAACTCAGGCTTAGATAATTGCTTTACTAACACTTAAACTTAAGCTACTATTTAATATGAGTAATTCAACATTGAATAATAAATTAATAAATCTGATTAATGGCTGTCTGAACAATCCAGTGAAGGAAAAAAGGATTTGGATCTGTCAGCCACCTTTGACTCCCAGATTTTTAAATTTCATAGGTAGTAAAGTTATAAAAACAAAAAACTGGAGAGATCAACATATAATTGCTAACTTTTCTTATGCCATGTATAAGCATAAAAACAAAACTACCAACTACTATAATGATTACTTCCTAAAATAAAGGACATTTAAACTATCAAAATGTAATATTAATAATAAAAATAACACAGGAAGATATTACCAAGAAAGGTCAGTACAGCAGCAAACAGTTGCTGTTACGCTAGTGAAAAGTTCACTTTAGCCAGCCCTAGACCACTGCCCACCAACTTGGGAACCTCGGAATGAGACTACACGCTTCTGGAGAGCAGGGCTCTTGTCTTACAGGTAGTCCTCTAACTCTTGATGCTGAGCAGCCCAGGGAGGGCTGCCAAGGCTGCCCTACCTGTGCTGCGAACCCCTACCTTATATTCCAAGGAGAGCAAAGTCTCTGTCTTAGAAGCCCAGCTCCACTTGTGGACTGCATAGCCCTTGTAGTCGTTGGTGGTCCCGCCTTCCTCATCCAAGACCAAGACATATGGGCAGCTAGGAAAGACACATAGGTGAGGAGCTGCCACCAGACCCCTGAAGGAAGCCCTCATTACTACTGGCAATAGGCAGGCAGGGTTCTGAGACTCTGCCCCAGCTGGAGAAAGCATGGTTTCCTGCAGCAGCCTCACTTCTCTTGCCTAATATGGTGTGAGGTCCCTTCAGTCCTGTTGATCCTACTGGGAGAATTGTTGGGAAGGGCAGGTCTGAGGGAGATGATGGAGGCTCCAGGACAAACCCAGAGGGACAGAAATGGAATGTGTACCCTGTAGCCTAGGATCCTGAGTATACAAGATCTTAGTTATCAAAATGGGAACATCTATAACATGAAAGTAAGTTATTTCTTTCAAGAACAGTTCCTTATGAAAGGCCAAGCAAAACACAACTATTGGCTAGCAAAAATATGTGCTTCTTTTAAAACACCCCACAGAAGTGGTGCCTGTGGCTTCTACTTCACTCTCTCTTGGTTTAAACACTTCTCTCCACTAAAGAATTGTTCCATTAATCTAGCCAAAAATCAAGATCTTAGTGCTGTGGGGATACAAGTGAAGTAGGTCTTGGAGAGCTGCCATTCTCATCAGCTATGATAATACTGATGTAGCAAGTGAGGGCCTCAAAGTACCTATTTTTCTGTAGGCATTGCCTTGTGGCCTTAACTTCTGAACACTGCCTGACCTCTCCTTTCCCCTAGGACTCCTACTTGCCCCCTCTGTCCCGCACCCCCCTTTGTCACCCTCAGAGATACTTCCATGGGGCCATAATTCCTTCAACCCACTCACCAGGACTTTAGGTTGTAGTGAACGAAGCCCTGGCCTTCAGCATTGAACAGGGCCAGGAAGGAGAAGTTGGGTGTGTCATTAAAGAGTAAGGTGATGGTTCTCCCTCCGCAGCAAGTGGGGATCTGACACATGGCAATGTTTCCGGAGGGATAGCTGGCAGAAATGGTTAAGTAGAACTAACAAAAAACTCTCCAGGTTCTATTCTTAGATGCCCCATGGAAAGCAAGTCTACAAATCTGTTGTTTAAATGGTACATCATTCCTAGTTTTTAAAGACCCTCCCTGAACTTTGCATAACAACTCATTGACTGTGGACTTGACCATGCCTCTGGTGCTTTCCTGTTATCTTCTTTATAGTCCACACAACCACCCTGTGGTAAATATTATCATCTCCATCTCACAGATGAATAGGGTTTCCCTGCATTTGAGGGGGTCCGTGGGATGTGGGACTTTCACTGCTAAAATCAGGGAAGTCCTTGGCAAACCAGGATGAGTTGATTACCATACAGATGAGAAATTCAAGGTGCAAAGAAATGGTCTGCCTCACATCACACCACAAGGAAGTGGCAGAGCCAGTATACTGAGGCCAGTAATATCTCTAATCTGTCAGGCTGCCTCCCCTTCTGACCAATCTAGGAGAGCAGCCAATGTCTAGCTGCTCATTTCCTACCAAGAGGCCCCCAGAAACATTGGTCCCAAATAAGAGGGCAGCTACTATCCTGTTTGCAGGGTTTTCAGAAGTACTCCATATGGAAAAATTTCAGTGGTTGGTACTAGGATCCACCCTCTTAATCCTTTTCCACAAACTCATAAATAATCAACAGAAATTCTAAAAGTAAAAAAAATAGAAATTTTGAGGCTGAATAGTATATAAATAAAATGAAAAAATTCACTGGATGGGTTTATCAGTAGATTGCCACAGTAGAAGAACAAAATCAGTGAACTTGAAGAGAGATAAATTGAAATTATCCAGCCTGAGAAATGGAAAAATAAAAAAAGAATGAAGAAAAATTAACAGAAATCGGGGGGCTAACAAATTGAGCAAGACATACATAACAAGAGCCCCAGTAGAGGAGAGAGAGAAGGGGGCAGAAAGAATATTTGAATAAATAATGAATAAAAACTCTCCAAATTTTATGAAAGACACCAATCTACACAATAAAGAGACTCAACAAATTCCAAGTAGGATAAATTTAAAAATAGCCACACTGAGACACATTAGTATCAAACTGCCAATAGACATAGACAGAGAGAATCCTGAAAGCAGCAAGAGAAAAGATACTTGTCATGTACAAGGGATCTTCGATAAGATTAATGGCCAATTTATCATTAGAAGCCATGGAGGCCAAAAGGCAATAGAATGGAATATTTATAGAGCTGAAAGAAAAAAAAATCTGTCAACCAAGAATTCTGTATTAAGCAAAACTATCCTTCAAAAAAATGAAGGAGAAATTAAGACTTTCCAAATAAACAAAGGGTGAGGAAATTCACCACTACAAAAAATGTTAAATGGAGTCCTTCAGGCTGAGATGAAAGTACACTTGGCAGTAACTCAAAGACATGCAAAGAAAAAGAGGACATCAGTAAAGTAACTCTATAAGTAAATATAAAAGCCAGTATTATAGTATTTTTTGTTTATAATTCCTTTCTTTCCTATGTGATTTGAAAAAGCAAATGCATAAAATAATTGTAAATCTATGTTAATGGCATACTTCTATATAAAGATGTAATTTGTGATAACAACAACATAAAAAAGAAGGAATAAGCTGTATAGGAGCAGAGTTTTGTATACCATTAAGGCTAAGTTAGTATTAATTCAAACTAGTTTGTTATCAGTTGTAATAATCAAGTATACTAATTTCTTGGAACTGCTGTAATTAAATCCCACAAACTGGGTCACTTGAACAGCAGAAATTTATTCTCTAACTGAAGACTAGCAAGGTGTTGACAGGGTCATGCTTTTGGAGGCCCTGGGGAAGAATACTTCCTTGCCTCTTCCTAATTCCTAGTGGTTGTCAGGAATCTTTGGCATTCCTTGATTTATAGGTGTATCATTATAATCTCTTTCTCAGTCATCACATGGACTTAATTACTCTGTGTGTGACTGTTTTCTCTTATTGAATTAGGGCCCACACTAATCCAATATGGCTGCATTTTAACTTAATAATTACATCTGCAAAGCCCTATTTCTAAATATGGTCACATTCTGAGGATTCAGGTGAACATAAATTTTTGGCAGACACTATTCAAACCATGATACCAGGGTAACCACTAAGAAAATAACTTAAAAATATGGAGAAAAGAAAATGAGGAGGGAATAAAAATGTCATGCTACAAATAAAATAAAATAAAACACAAAAGAAGGCAGTAATGTAGTAACTAAGGAACAAAAAATATATGATATAAAAAACAAACGTAATATGTCAGGATTAAGCCCTTTCATATCAGCAATTATTTTAAATATAAATGGATTAAACTTTCCAAACAAAGGCAGAGATTGTGAGAATGGATTTTTACAAAAACCATAATCCACACATATGCATTCTACAAGAGACTCACTTTAGATCCAAAGACACAACTAGGTTAAAAGTGAAATCATGGCCCAGCCAGTGTGGGTCTATGGTTGAGCATCAACCTATGAACCAGCAGGTCACGGTTTGGTTCCCAGACAGGGCACATACCTAGGTTGCCGGCTTGATCCCCAGTGGTGGTGTGCAGGAGGCAGCCAATCAATGATTCTCATCATTGATGTTTCTATCTCTCTCTTTCTTTCCCTTCCTCTCTGAAATCAATAAAAATATTTTTTAAAGTGAAATTATGAAGAGGGATATGCAAATTGCAAACAAAAGAGAGCAAAGTTGGCTATATTGATATCAGATGAAACATATTTTAAATAAAAATTATTTTACAAGAGACAAAGAAAGACATTATGTATTCAGAAAATGGTCAATGCCTCAAGAATACATATCAAGTACAGACATACACACCTAACAATAGAGGCTTAAAATATATAAAGCAAAAATTGACAGAATTTAAAAAATAAGTACTAAAATAAGAGTTGAAGACTTCACTACCTCACTTTCAATAATGGACAGAATAGCCCTAGCCAGTTTGGCTCAGTGGGCAGAGCCTCAGCCCATGGACTGAAGGGTCCCTGGGTTTGATTTTGGTCAAGGGCACATGCCCAGGTTGCAGGCTTGATCCCTAGTAGAGGACATGCAGGAGGCAGCCAATCAATGATTCTCTCTCATCATTGATGTTTCTATCTCTCCCTCTCCCTTCCTCTCTGAAATCAATAAAAATATATTTAAAAAAATAATGGATAGAACAATTAGACAGAAAATCAATAAAGAAATAGAGGACTCAATCAATATTATAAACCAAATAAACCTCACAGGCATATACTGAATATCCCATCTACCAACAGCAAAATACACATTCTTCTCAAGTTCACATGGATCATTCTCTGGTACAGACAATATGTTAGGCGACAAAACAGGTCTCAATGAATTTTAAAAGATTATAACCATAGAGAGTACTAGTATATTTCAACAGAATGAAACTAAAAGTCACAGACAAAAGAAAATTTGGAAAGTTCACAAATAGATGGAAATTAAACAACACACTCAACCAATGGATAAAGAAGCAATCACAAGGTAAATTAGAAAACAAAAACACGGCATACTGTAACTTATGGAATAAAGTAAATGCAATGCTCAGAAAGAAATTTATAGCTATAAATACTAATATTAAAGGAGAAAAAAGATATCAAATCAATAACCCAAACTTCCACCTTAATGAACTATAAGAAGGAAGAGCAAATTAAAGCTAAAGGTAGCAAAAGGAAGAAAATAAAGATTAGAGCATAGAAAAACAAAGCAATGAATAGAAAAACAAGGGAGAACAAACAAAACCAAAAATTACTTCTTTGAAAATATTAACAAAATTCACAGAACTCTAGCTAGACTAAGTAAGAAAAAAAGGAAAACTCAAATTTCTAAAATTATAAATGAAAGTGAAGATATTAATGACCTTACAGAAATGAAAAATAATCATAAGAGAATTATATGAACAATTGTACACCCACAAGTTAGATAACCTAGTTGAAGAGGACACCAATTCCCAGAAACATGCAAAGTTGCAGGATACAACATCAACACGCAAAAATCAGATGTCTTTCCATTCATTTCCATCTTCTTTAATTTATTTCAACAATATGTTATAGTTTTCAGTGAACTACAATGAAAACTGTTTGGTTAAATTTATTCCAAAGTATTCTATCCTTTTTGATGCTATTGTAAATGATATCATTTCCTTTTGTTCATTGCTTTCTTATTGTTGTTGTACATACAGCATTTCATATCATTTGTTGCTAGTATTCATAGATTGGAAGAATTAATTTTGCTAATGGCAATAGTCCCCATAGGGATCTACAGAAACATATGGGGGTGGAAGCGGCTGGGGAGAGGTCAATGGGGGAAAAAGGAGACATATGTAATACTTTAAACAATAAAGAATTTAATTTTTAAAAAATATATCTTATTGATTTTTACAGAGAGGAAGGGAGAGAAGTAGAGAGTTAGAAACATCGATGAGAGAAAAACATTGATCAGCTGCCTCCTGCACACTCCCTACTGGGTATGTGCCCGCAACCAAGGTACATGCCCATGACCGAAATTGAACCTGGGACCCTTGAGTCAGCAGACCGATGCTCTATCCACTGAGCCAAACCAGTTAGGGCAAGAATTTAATTTTTTTTTTTTAAAAAAAGAAGCTAGGACACTTTGTACAGAAATAAAACATAAAAGGTTAAAAATAATAATAAAATAAACCAATACATCTATGGTCAATTGATTTTCAACAAAGGTCCCAAGATCATTCAAATGGGGAAAAGAATAGTCTCTTCAACAAATAGTTCTGGGACAATTGGGTATCACATGCAAAAGAATGAAGTTGGACCCTTATCTATGTAAAAATGCAAACGTCAACTCAAACTATATCAAAAACCTAAATGTAAGAGCTTTAACTTTGAAACTTTTAGAAGAAGGAAGAACCAAGATGGCGGCATAGGTAAACACTGGAGTTTGCTGCCTCGAACAACCACTTCAAAAATACAACTAAAAGACGGAAAGGACATCATCCAGAACCACAGGA